AAACAGATTAATAAATGTAAGAAATAAGAAACACAAGAATAAAAACTTTGCAATACTAATATTTATAGATATTAGAATGCAGAAGGTGATAAATAGGAAAAAGTGGATTTATTTTCTCTTAAGTATGAATGGTGGAAACTAGGAACAGATTATATAGAGAAAAGTTTACAAATTTTACCAAGTTTCAGCTCATGAAACAAAGGCAATTTGAATCAGCTATTCAGCTATGATAAGGGAAAAAAGTGATTCATATTTAGGGTTCTGCTAGAATTGTCTAAATTTTAGATCCATCCAAATCTCAATATGACATCTGTTTGTTTATTTAGTGTGTGTGTGTATATACATATATATACATACAAGGGGAGAATCTCTCTCTCTCTCTGTCTCTCACACACACACATACACACAAACACACACACACACACACAAACAGACATATTTTTTGGAGGGCAGGACCCTTGTAGTACAGGCTAACCCCGCTAAGTGAGTGTTCTAGGAACCTCATCAGCATCAGTGTATCAGCTAGCTTTCTTGCAATAGGCTGCATTCAGCTTCAGTAAATTTTTATTTTCTTGAGATTCTTTCAGCTTGTTTGCCCATTTCATGATTTGGGCGATTTACAAGTGCATCTGCCCCCACCACGCTGAGTATTCAGCAATTTTTGACCAAAGACGCCATGACTTCCACGCTCCACCCTCCCTATTCACCTGATCTTGCCCTGAGAGACTTTGTTGTTGTTTGCCTGGATGAAAAAGTCCTCAAAAGAAAATGTTTTGCCCATGTGGAAAAGGTGAAACAAAAAATGGCAACAGCGCTAAAAGGCATCAGAATTGATGGGTTCAAAAACTGTTTTGAACAGTGAAAAATGTGTCTTTGTAGGTGTTTTGAATCATACGGAAAGTGCTTTGAGGGTGACTGAAATTTAATCTTGTAAGAATAAATACACACGTTTTTATAAATAAGTTCTGTTTTGGAGGGTCCCTTCGTATGTGTGTGCAGATGAGTGAGTGTGTGTGTGTGTGTTTGTGTGTGTGTATGTTTAAATTATACAAATGAAAAAATTACCTCTTTCATATTCAGAGAAGCCAATTGAGATTTCAGAGAGTGCTGGGGCTTTCTGTAAGGTCATATCTATGAATAGTTGAACCATGCTACAAGGGAATCCAGGAACCAGGAGCTGCTTTTTATGCATACAAAATCTTAAATCATAGAACACAGAAGTCAGGAGAACTTAAAATTCATCTAGTTAATATGTGTTCACCTTGTTTATTGTCCTCTCATTTTATACTTACTTCATTTTTATTTAAAATAATGTTTGATACATTTCAGGAGACATTGAAAAACAAGTTAATGGACTATTCCTTTTTATGCCTTAAATCATCAAAGAGCCTTCTAAAAACAAGAAAATAATAACCCTTTTACCTTTCCTCCAATCTCCCTTCCTATACAGATATCTACAAATATTTTCCTAAATGCTGATAGTATGACTTTATAAATCACTATTAAGAAGTGTCCTTAATTATCACATGTCTCTACTATCTATTTTCTGACAAAAAGGATTGCTTAAGAGAAGCTATACCAAAGCAAAATGACCATTTTTTTCAGTAACTGCACTTCAACATTTAATTGGCTTATTAATAATAGCCCTATTCAGCAAATCATCTCATTAAGTTACCTAGGGGAACGTTTTGCAACTAGATTATCTTAAATTGTTCCCTAGGCATTTAAATTTTGTAAATTAGACACTCTACAAATGCATAATTTAGATTCTGATGCCTAGGGGAGTATTTGGTAACACCCACTTTAATTTTTTTCCTGTTCCCTAGGAATAGCAATTAGGGGATTAAAATGCCTCCTTGTCTAATTTTGAAGGGGAAATGAAATTGATTTATATTAGAAAAATATTAGAACTCCCTTTGGTTCCTCACACCATCAGTCCAAATACTTAAAATGATGAAGGGGCATTTAATGTATTATGTTAAGAGCTTCTACAATTAAGAGTTAAATGATTGTTAATTCAGAAGAGACTTTCTGAATGTCTTGTGCTTGTCAGAAAGTTTCACATCAAATGTTTAATTTCCAGGGATGATATTTTTGAAGGATTACCTGGAGGACAGGAAGTCTATCCAGCCCTCTAAAGAACATAGATATACATCTTTTTTTTTTCCTGGAGAAATCCAAATCTCAGTTGTTGGCTTGTTTTCTGACTCTTTCACCCTCTTCTCTTCTTAGATCCAAAGCAAGATACAATTTCATGGACTTCCATGAAAATATTTACTCACACCAACCACTTCTTAGCTACATAGATGACACTGAGTAACTGGGGTGATGCCAGGCCACAGTGGCATGCAGCTCTCTACAGCCTCACATAGCCCTTGTCTTCATAGAACCCCTCAACCTCCTGGCTTCACACACCTACCTTCTTTCCTGTATGTGTGTATGTGTATATACAATGCACAACTTATAAAAAATATGTTATATGTATATAGATGTACATTTAATATATGACATAAAATTATATTTGGTACACATTTGTGTATTCACATGCATAGATACATCATCCATCATAAAATTACTTTTGGATTGACTTTTCTAGATTTATATTTGGGTCAATTAATATCTATCAGTGTCCATTTATAAATATCCCAGTGGATATGCATCTTTCTGAGGTTTAAAATTATTGTGTTTATTTTTGGATTTAGAGTTCTGTAAAGGACTCACATTCTCTGTTCATTAATTATGTTAAGACAAATCTAAAGAAAAATGGCACTGCACTTTATTATTTCCAGTAGGAGTGATATCACTTCCCCAGAGGTGTCCTCCTTCGCTTTTAGACTTCACTATCTCTCTTTTACTTATGACCCCATTCAAAGAACTCATGTCTGTCGTCTGTGCTGGTTTTTAAACTGCAAACTGAGGGTAATGCACATACCTTGTTCACTGGTGTTTTTTATCACCTAGAACAGCCTCACCCTCAGTTAACAGAAGGAATAATAATGAATGAGGAGGTCTCGAAGTGTTGGGGTAAATTTGGCTGTTTATTACTACTTCTTATGCATATCAAAAGTGCACTTGGGTTTGTTTCTTAACTTTACTGTTCATTTATAGACTGAGATAAGTTACAGCCTCTCTTTTCAGTTTTTACATGGTTCCGTATACCTCACAATATCTTAAATAGTAGTGAGAAACAGAGCCTTTTTACAAATGCATTTACTTCTATGTTAACAAAAAAAGGCAAGTGCCTTTTGTTTTTATATGGTAATTCTAAGTGCTTCTTCATTTAAACCCAGGGCTTCATTAGGGGTGCTAATATCCTCAGTCTTACATAAAATTACATGTAAATTACATTTAGATTGCATGAACAAACCAAATTATTTCCTTTGAAATGAGAGTTCTATGTCACCAAAAAATAAGTAGGAAAAAGGGAGACCAACGTGGTGGCTCACGCAAGAGGATTGTCTGAGCCCAGGGGTTTCAGCCTGGGTAACTTGGTAGACGTTGTCTCTGCAATAAATCAACAAATTAGCCAGGCATGGTGGTGTATGCCTGTAGTTCCAGCTACTTGGAGGGCCAATGCAGAAGGATCTCTTGAACCCAGCAGGTTGAAACTGTGGTGGCCATGAGCATGCCAATGCACTCCAGCCTGGGTGACAGAGTAAGACTCCAACACACACACGCAGAAAGAGAGAGAATAATAGTATGAAATTAAAACTATAATATCTTCTTTTCTTATTCTGAAAGACATTCCATGTCTGTAGTACTATTAATTTAACGCAATTATCATTTTAATTTTTACAGTTTAATTTTAGAGATCAAATCCTTAATTATCTCCATAAATTGGGAAAACTTAGTTATTCATCATGGTCAAAGTTGCATTGCAAAATTTTGGCTCAACATAAAGAAACATTGCGCTGAGTCAAGTTAAAAAAGATCTATCCATTGGTATAGCTAGGCGATATTGAATATGAGATAGATGATTCCAGAGAAAATGTCTTATTTCCATGCAGTTATTATGAAAATAGTCTTATCCTAAAAATAGCTGTTATTTGTAAAGTGGATATGATCCCTAAGGCCCTGGAATACATAGTTTCATCAATTTTTCTTATCGCTCCCTCCAAAACCTGACAGAGTAGCTGCTACCTTCATTTCTATTATACAGAGGAGGAAAACAACACAGAAAAATCAAGGAACTTACCTGTGTTTAAATGGTTAACATGGGCGCAGCCCAATGTTCCCAATGTTTCAGATAATTTAATTCATAAAGTTATAGCAATTAGTAATTGTAGTATTCTTAGTATTTTATTTCAAATAAGGGGAAATTCACATATGGTTCAACACTTTTATTTTAGAAAAAGAATTGGATAGTATTTAAGGGCAGAATGTTTGAGGATAGGATAGCATTCTTTATTTTCCTATGCTAATGACCATTTTAATACCTAATAATTTGTCTTGTATTTTGTTTCATTATAAGTCATAAAACATTGTAGTAGTAAAAAAATGCCTGTTATAATATAAATGTATATATATCATACAGACTTTATTTTCAAGACACTTTATCACTCCCTCCCCTTCTTTCTACAAATCTTTAACTGCAGTCTCTGGCAATTATTATAATGGACATATTAGTTATGTTATACATCATGTTTCATTTTTCTTTTTACACGATTATTAGTAAACAACAAAGTGGCAAAAAAAGCAAACTAATTAATATATGTGAAATTAAAAAAAAAATCCTTAATGGAGAGGAAGTATCCACCACAGAATCAAGGATTAATTATAAAATCATTCCTTGGTTAATATAAACAACATTTATTTTACATAGAAAAATCTTAGAAATAATATTGACATCATTGACATCGCCACTTCATTTATTCCTGTGCATAAGAAAAAATCCTTTTCTGATGTTAATAAAACCACTTGTCCCAATTCTAAGATAAATTAAACTTTAAAAAGTTACTTTGATGTAATTGTACAAAAATGTATTTTTATCATATTTACAGAAAGATAAGGAAGACCAATGGCTAGAGAAAAAAGTGCAGGGAAATAAAGACCACATCATTTTGGAGCATCTACAGTGGACAATGGGGTATGAAGTTCAGATTACTGCGGCCAATAGACTGGGATATTCTGAACCAACAGTTTACGAGTTCAGCATGCCACCAAAACCCAACATTATTAAAGGTAAGCAATACTATATTCTTTCTTAGGCTGACCATAAATATGATACCATCTTTGTATAACCCCTATGAATTTTTTTCTTAATGAAAATAAACTGAAATATAAATTCCATTCCAATCATGATTATTGTGACATGTACTCAGAGTTTCTCATTGCTCTTGCCATGGGGCAATGGTTCGTGTATAAATATGCTTTAATACTATTAACAGTTAAAGTGGTGGAGAGAAGATGAGGAAGGAGAGAATAGAAAGTAAGTGACTGATGATAATCAGCATGAAAAAAACAATGTATATTGAGACCAGAAGAAAACTTTGCAGTGAAGACAATCTCATTGTCTGTCATAGGGGGGTCTGGTGCTCCAATTTTTGCAGGATTTGACCAAAGGTAATGATGGGCCCATCCATGCCTGCCTAAGTACATTGATTTTGGAAACATAAAATCAGACACAATTTAAGGTAGAAACAGCTATAAATGTAACTCCGTAAAGAACTACAGCTAGATTTTCAAGAAAGCTCATCGGATGGCAGGACACTCTAAATCAGTTTTCACAACACACTGGTGGAGTCCATATCTGATAGGTAACAGTGCTTACATATTCATACATTATCAAAGTCCACTGGAGGGTTGGTGAACATTTTTTTTTTCAGATAAATGCTATAGAGGTAAAGATGGAAGAATTTATTCTGATTCAAAATCATGTTGTACTCTGTTAAATGATTTGCCATATAGGTCATATTTTGACATCGGGTGATACCTTGAATATTTAAATTTTGCATGGACATGGACATAAATATTTACATATATAGTATATTATGCTATGTACATATATAGAGGTAAGAGTAACATATTAATTCATAAAACCAAGATTTATTTATCTTATTATAATAGCATATCAATATTGGTACATACAATTTTTGAAACTGGAAAAAAACCTTGTTAGTTCAGTCATGGTATTTAACACTGGTAATTTCAAATTGATGTTAATTTTGTATATTATGACTTATTACAGCACACATCATAATTGAAAGTAGTTTTATACAATTAATATTTAAATTAAAAAGTAATTACTATTGGCTATACATTTTTTAAGTAATTAGACTTTTTTAATAATTTGCTTATAATATGCAAAGTCATTCTGCATTCATTGTCTCATTTTTTTCCCAAAACTTAATTGGATAAGGAAGCATTATCCTCATTTTACAAATATGATTTTAAAGGGTTTAATGATTTGTTTAAGGTCAGGGATACTTTTAGTCATATGACAAATCTGATGCCCTCACAACATGATACACCTAAATAAGAATGGTTATATGTACGATCAAGTTTATTGTCCCTGTGAGTTTGAAACATCAACTGCCTCTACAATTGTAATGTATTATGTATGTAGTAATTATACTACATGCCAATATCAGACACACTATGTAAATATGATTCTCTAACTGAGTCAGAACTTTCAAAGGAATATTTCAACAGTGTACTCCATCCTCCTAAATAATTAATTGAGTGCACATATTTGGGAGAAATAATGAATTTTTATTAAGATAAAAGTTAATATTCTATGAAGTAGAAGGCAAAATTTTAGTGGTATAATATAGATACCACAACAGATATCATAAAAACAGATTTTACACAGGTTACTTAATTTTATGCTCTCAGAGTCCTTGCAATGTTTATAAGAACTTGTTAATAAAAAAACCCAATAAATATAGAATAAGAGTTTTAAAAATTAAAGGTCACAATATATGTAAAGGTACAACAATAGTCAAGGCATGCTCTGATACATTCACTCTAAAAACACGTTTTTTTTCCAATTTGAGAAACTTATGAACTGAAAGTTTGTAGGCAAACCCTAGAAGAAAAACCTTCAGAATTCTGATTTATTTTTCAAAATTTGCTCCTGTCACATGTCTTGTCCTGATATCTACTTCTTCATCTTTAAAGTTAGTTACTGGTTCTGCAATGTCAAGTTCTATTCATTTATTTCTTCCAGTTATTTATTGGAGTCAGGCTTTGTGACAAATACTGGGATGAGTACAAGGAATTCAACTGTGAAAAATAAATAACTGGTTCCTGTCCTCCAAACCCTCACAATCTAGCTGGGAACATTCACCATGAGTTAGAATAATTAAAATATAATTACAAATAAGAAAGATTTATCTTAGAAAGTGATTTTTCAAAGGAAGTTTCCTTTGCAGTAATGTGTCTTCCAGGGAAAGTGTGTTACATGGAAGTTGTCTCTGAAACAAGAAAGAGCTTGATCTTCTCTAAGAAAGAAAAAAAGAAAGAAAGAAAGAACTCGGAGGTGTATAAAATGAGGATGAGGCTAGTGAGGGATTCTAAAACCCATAATATTAAAGTATGTTTTACAAAGAAGTTAAAAAGAGAGAGATAAACAAGAAGGTTGTACAGCTAGGCATTGTAATCAGGTTATTCTTACTCATATGTTTAAGGGCATATGAAGCATATGAAGGTGAACAGCAGTAGAATATAAATAAATAAATAAATAAATTACAGGCACATTCATTGCAGGTGCGAACTAACTTTACCTTTGTAATAGATCGGATTCAGTCAATAATGACTTTTAGTTTTCTTGTTGGGCAAGTGGAGACTTGCTGACGTCTTTTCTCAAGATGAAGGACTTAGAAGGACCAAGATTTGGAGAATAGGGTCAAACAAACATAAAATCAGTTTGGTACCTGTTAAGTTTGATATGTCAAGTGATTGGATAGATATGTATGTGTGAAGATGAGATTATAGCAATGACTTGGAAGCATACACTATGAGGCTGTCAGTGTTAATAAGTGAATGGCATTTAAAACCTGAGTGAAGATAAAACCACCCAACAAGTAATACTTAAATTCTCTGACAGAGGTTGGTGTCTGGGACACCCATTGATGTTTCCCAACACCTAGATGGGTGACTGCACAGTCTTGATGTTCAAAGACTATTTGTCGAGTTAACTTAACAGTAGAAGGTTAAGAACTGCGGCCCAAGGAACCATAATATTATATGGGAAGGAGAAACCAGGCCTCTTTGTACCCATCATGAGACTAAGATGCTATAGACACAGTGAAAAATCACAACAATGTAGTATGTTGGAAGGTAAAAGAGGATCATATTTCAAGAAGAAAAAATATTAACTGTCAAATGCTTCTGAGAGGTCAATGGAACCACAACAGACATGAAGTGCACTTATCACATGCAGCTTTACTGAAGTAGTTTGGAGAGAAATTAGGTAGGAATGGGGTGAGGACAGTATGTGAGTTAGGAAATATAGACTTCATATTTATTTAATTCTTTCAAGAAATTTTTCTCTGAGGGAATGTAGAGAGGGGATGAAGCCAGTGATAGAAAGTCTTTTGTGATAAAAAATGCTAGATGAAATAGATAAGTGGTCATGGAAAAGTCAGACATACAGGCAAAGCTATATGAGAAGGTCAGAGATGGCACTCTTTTCTTCTAAACTAAGTACATAGTGCAAAGCCAACGAAACATATTGGAAAATGGAAAACATAAAATATTTACTGTATCTCTAAGTGTCACAAAATAATGTGTGATTTACTGTGACTAAATCCACTGATTTCTAAGGTTTCATGGAAAGCCATATCAAAGACATGCCCATAGATTACAAATTGTTTGATTTAGCTCTTGGTTTCTTGAGGCAATTTTAAAGGCTGTGATGATGGGAAATTTGGGACCCTTTAAACCCACAAAATGGGATAGAATGACTATTCTGTATTTACAAAATATGAAACAATCTTCATATACTTTTATCACATTTTACTTTATTTTTAAACCATATTAAATTCATGCATATTAGAAATAAGCTATCTGTAATAAACTAGCACATCGTAAGTCATTTTAAGTCAGAGAAGATATGGAGTTTAAACGTTAATTTAGTTTTAATTTATTTTTGTTTATAATATGCTGTAAACTGTTCAATTAAGTTTTCTGTATTTTTTAATTTTAGAAAAATCTTGGTTTATGGGCATTAAGACATATTTAACTTTTTGTAAACAATATGCTAAATCTAGGTTACATTTACTAATAGTAGACTAAAGCGCTATTTTTAATACCTTACATACATATACAATGTATTCTTTAGATAATAATGGATTTTCTTGTTTGTATCAGTGGATACTATATTTCTTCAAAGCTTATGATTCAGCTTTTTAAAATAATTTTTCAATTATTAGTATTGTCCCTTTTTTAAAATTTTTATTAAGTGTATGCTTACTTTGAAAGATGTGCCTTTTCATTTATATAAAAATAGAGTTTGCAAATTCAATTATGTTTCCTTTTAGACTATTCGTGCTACATAATTCCGTCTTTATTTTATAAATAACAAAAATATTGAAAAGTTTTACCAAATGACTTGATATAAAAATGACTTCCAACCTATCTATGGAACTAGAGGTTGATAGAATGGAATTTATTGATTTGATCTATAATTTTAATGACTAAAAATACTACTGAATTACTGTATTGGGTCTAACCTAGTGTTTTAAATAGACTTTACTGCATGTTTTATTTTTTGTATTTAATCAAAGAAAGACCTTAGTATTTGTCCATAACTCCTTTCTTTCCTCCTGCTCTTACTCTTTATTGAAGACATGTCTAATTTAACATCATAATATAGTATCTATCTATATAGACTGAAATATAATGACTATCAGTACATTGTGATGACAAACATTTCTCTGTTCCTATGTCTATGACATCTGATAATAAAATAATTCTGCCATCTGAGAACATGTAATACATACATTAGAGTTTTTCAGATTTGACAAACTAAAAAAAGAAATAGCATAAATCACCACTAATAAATACATTGCCAAAATGCTGCAGTTATTTTGTATTTTCATGGGCTTTTTAATTGTACTTCTAATGAACTGCAGAGTAGTTACTATTATTTTGATGACCTTCACTCTATTTTCAAGCAACATTAATATCCCTTCATCCCTAAGTAAGTCAGTTTGAATGGAAACACAACATTCAAGAAC